TTTTAGGATTTTCGCAAAAGACATATAGCAAAAAGAAACCAAGCAATCCGTATTTTATTTTAAAGAATTTAGAAGATAAAAAAGGAATTCAAATTAAAAAGAAATTAGATTCGCTTACCACTCATACCCTACCCAAAGATGCAAAATTAATTAAACACAATACGTTTTATAGTGCTTATTCTACTGTACACAAGCAACCTTATTGGGTTGCACATATTGTGCCCAAAGATATTTTATATGGTTCCTATTCAAGAAATGATGGTTTCTTGGCAGATAGTTTGTTTTTACAAACAGCAGATAGTACAGATTATTGGGCAAGTGGCTACGACAGAGGACACTTGGCACCAGCAGCAGATTTTAGATGGAATAAAGACGCTATAAAAGAATCTTTTTATTACACCAATATTTCGCCTCAGCTTAAAGATTTTAATCGAGGAGCTTGGTCAAAATTAGAAGCAGTGGTAAGAGAATTTGCCATTGATGCTAACGAAGTGTATGTGATAACTGGTGCTGTTTTAAACAACAAATTACCCAAACTACAACAAGGTTCTTACCAAGTATCTATTCCCAAATATTTTTATAAAATAGTGTACGATATTTATCCACCAGAATATAAAGCTATTGCTATTCTAATGCCTAATCAAGATATTGTATTTAATTTGCAAAAATATGTTGTTTCCATAGATTCTATTGAGCAAATCACAGGATTTGATTTTATGAGCATACTGCCAGACCCAATTGAAAATACGATAGAAAAAAACAGTAATTTAGATAATTGGGATAAAAACTACAGCACAATCACAGAAGGAATTGTGAATAAAAATTATGGCAATAATAAAATAAATACTTTTGATGCTAAAGAAAAGATTGGACAACAATGCACCGTGTGCGGAAAGGCTGTGAGCATTAAATTTGTAGAAAATGGAAAAACGAATCCAACTTATATTAATTTGGATAAAAAATTTCCAGAACAATTATTTACTATTGTTATTTATGAAAATGAGAGAAAGAAATTAAGTTATATTCCAGAAGAAAAACTATTACAAAAAGAAATTTGCATTACTGGAAAGATTGAGCAATACAAAGGCATTCCACAAATTGTTTTACAAAAAGCAAGCGATATAGAAATTTTAGAAAAACCTTAATCACTAAAAGGCAAATTATCTTTGAGTAGCTTGTGTAATTTAATATTATATTCTTCTAATAAGAAATTAAAATAGTTTTTGGTTGCTTTAGACAAACAACTAATATATACATTTAATCTATATCTTATTTCATCTTGCAATAGATTAATTAATTCTACTGCATCTAAATAATTGGTACAGTTTTCTTTTATTCTTTCATAATGATTTTGAACAGAAAAGTCCAAAACTTGCAATGTTTTTTGACCTTTTAAATATAATTTTTGATATTCTTTTTCGATGTTAAAATTAAAATCAACGGTATTTGGAAATCTATCTATTAAATCTTGAGAAAGCGTGTACATTAAACCTTTTTCCATGCGCTGTTCTCTATCATACAAATGTTCTAAAAATCTATCAGGATTAACAAAAACATCTTGCCAATCAATATGATCTTGCCACATGCCTAATCTTTTAGCATTATTTCCTAAATCAATAATTGTAAATTCAGATTTATTGTGTAGTCTTCTGCTGCCACGTCCTACCATTTGATGGTAAAGCGTAAGCGAACGCGTAGCTCTGTTAAGAATAATAGTTTGTACCGTAGGTTCATCAAATCCAGTAGTTAAAATACCAACACTTGTAACAATGGCATCTGGTGTCTCTTTTAGCCATTGTAGTACTTCTTTTCTGTCTTGTTTGTTGCTTGTACTGTCTAAATGTTTAATTGGAATATGGTGTAGTTTAAAGAAGTTTTCGACAGATTTAGAAGTAGCAATAGAACTATTAAATATTAATGTTTTTGAGTTTTTGGCTTTTTCATTATAAGCATTCAAAAGAATTTGGTGCATATCAAAACCCATGTAAATTCTGTCTAATGAATTTACGGTATAATCTCCATCTATGCCTACTTTTAAGCCACCCAAATGCACATCGTAAGTAAAAGTTTTAGCATCGCTCAAAAATCCTTTTTCTATCAATTCATTAATAGAATCACCAACGATTAATTTTTTATAATTAAATCTTAAAGGAAAATGAATATTAGAACTCAGAGGCGTTGCTGTAACACCAAATATTACGGTATTTTCAAAGTACTTAAATATTTTTCTAAAAG